CATCACCACACTAGGAGTGCAAGCCCATGTGCAGGGCACAGAGCTGCGCTCAGGCAGCGACACTTACAGAGGGTGCAAAGGCTTTTCGACTTCTCGCTCAAACACCTGGGCTGCCAGAACGATCCCAAGAGGCTCTCAAACCGAGGCCGAACGTCTCGTGCCAGCGTCACCCAAACCTCCGAAAGGTGTTAGGGCCTGAATGTCTCTACAGAAGGCCCCAGACGAAACATCGCAAGCCATGAGGGCAGGTCCACTTCCAATGAGCAACATGTGGAACCGGTACCAACGTCGGGCGTGGTACCACTAAGGCTTTCCATCCAGCTCGCTTACAGCCACAAAGAGGCCTTGAAAGAATTGCAGTTGGCTGGGGAACGTTGACTGGGAGTTTGCAAGGAGGTTTCGAACCTTTGTGCACCTTGAGCCGACCAAGGAGATACCCGTCGGCATGAATTTCTGAAGCGCAGTTCCGGCAGGTTTGCCGTCGGGTCATTGGCCTTGAACCAGAACACGTCAGGCCCGCACTCTCCAGCAAAGTCCCACGACTCCTCTCCTCTACAGCTTGTGATAGTCTGACCCCGAAATGCAGCGCGCTTAACATTTGATGGCTCTTTGAACGCACATCACCGCACTAGGAGTTCAAGCCCACGTGCAGGGCACAGAGCTGCGCTCAGGCAGCGACACGCACGGAGGGTGCAAAGGCTTCTCGACTTCTCGCTCAAACTGAGGCCGAACGTCTCGTGCTAGCGTCACCCAAACCTCCGAAAGGTGTTAGGGCCTGAATGTCTCTACAGAAGGTCCGAGAATCACCCCTCCTACACCTACAAGCGGAGGGGGGTATGTTAGGCAGGTTTTCTGAGCGCAGGAATGCCTACCACTACCCCGGACCCGGGGTCCACTGTTCAGGACATGTGGGAGGCGTGTTAAGGCACTGGTGTGAAAAGGCACAACACCGTCTTGGCACGCGGCATTCTGAGAAGGAAGGCACACCACTTGACACAAGGCACAACACTGAATGTCAAACCCCAAGCGCACGCAGGTTCGAGGCAAGCAGTCAGGAACGTCAAGTTTTTTGCGTGCGGCATGTGCCTGCGGGCTGGGCTGCAGGTGGGTGGGGACGTTCTTCTAAGTGTCGCGCATTCTGCGGAGGGATGGATGTGATTCGTGACGATCACTTCCATGAATAGATTTCAGCAACCCGCAACCTCAGCCTTGAAATCTGGCTTCTGCATAGCCAACCTGCACCTCTCAACCCGGCCTCCCAGGGCTCCGAAGGCCCCAGCCCGCGACGGCGCCAGCACACATGACCCTTCATTCCTTCTGTACATCCAACCTTCTGCGACACCAATTGGCGAATGAGTGCGGTCTGAAGGGCACGTGCTTTCGGCGCGTCACTACAAGTCCTTCTAAGTTGAGTCTCAAGATGCTGGTACAAGATGCAGGGTCCCCGAAAGGTACCGCAACGCCGGCTGAGTCTCCCCCAGCTTTAAAGGCCTTCGCCAAAGAGCAAGCGGGTTTTGTTATACTTTTTTTCGGACGGCACGCCTTAGCGCATGGCCCCAGTACCGGCATCGAGGGCATATGAAAACATGCTCTGGCCTCTGGAACGAAATTTCAGAGAAGCAGAACATGAATCCTGCTTGTTAATGCCTAGCGAACCCCCGGGTATCCGGCCCCTGTTAGGTATTATCTGGCTGCAGTTGACTGGGGAATGTTGACAGGCAGTTTGCAAAGCGCACTGCCAGTCGCAAGGTCCAGAGATTCAGACCCTTTGTGCACCTTGAGCCGACCAAGGAAATACCCGTAGTATACCCGTGAACTTCTGAAGCGCTCGCTTCGGCAAGTTTGTCGTTGGGTCATTGGCCTTGAACCCAAGATAATCCCCCTTGCGTCTGTGTGCTCAGGCTACATGTGTACTTAAATGGCTTCGTGTAAACTGAAACGGGTTCATGTAGCCCCAGAAGTTGGCCTGCGCTGGGGAGACTCACTCGCCTGGAAAGGTTTTGGATACCTGGACCCTTACAGAGCCCGCTGCAGGCCGGCACGCCCCAGGTCGGGGCTTTATAGGGATAACCCGCGGGGCTTTGGATGTGTAGGGTTACTGTGGGGTTACTTAGTTGCGTCGCCTCAGGGTGCCACACAATGCAAAAAAAGAGAGCCCCCAATAAAGAGATCTGAAGTGTCTAAGCCTCTGAAAAATCACCAGCTTCAGTGTTATCCATATGCAATCTGACTGCGATGAACCTATTTGAGTTTGCAGGACTGAATGCAAATATGCAAAGGTTGCGGAGGAAGTGTAGCGAAAGAGCAGAGCGAGAGAGCGCGAGGGCAACAGGTCGGGTTTCGGATGCAAGGCTCAGGCCGTTTGAGGTTTAGGCTTTGATGTTTTGGAGTTTAAGTTTCAGGTGTTTAGGGTTTAGGGCTTGGCGTTTTTTTTGCAGAGCTGCAGTTTAGGGTTTAGGGTTTAGGGTTTAGGGGGTTTAGGGTTAGGGTTTAGGGTTTAGAGTTTGAGGGTTTCGGGTCGGCCGGTAGCTGCTGCTGGTGTACCCTCCAGAACCCCCCCCCCAACCGGCTGCGTGGCTTTGGCACTGAGTTCTTGTCCCTTGCGGCTCGAAGAAACAAGCATCGAGCGCGCATAACAGCGGCCACCCCAAGACTGGCTCACGTCGCAAACTCATGTCGTTTTGGAACGGGCTTGTAAGGAAGGCAACATGCAATGGCACTTGGCAGCAGTTCAACTCCTCAAGACCGTAACCATTCCAGGCTGCAGCTGAGGCCGGCGCACCAACAAAATGAGGCGTGTAGCAAAAGAGTGGGATCGTTTGTGAGCTGCATTCTTATTAATGTTGTCATATTGTGCGCTCACAGTGTAACAGTGTATGTGTAAGAGAAACTAGAAGGAGGATTGGCAAAGCTTCTAATGCAGCGGCCATGGTTTACAGGCTGGTTTCACTCTTCAAATCAAGAGATGTGCTGCGTGCACATGGCGGCAAAATGGTACGGGCTAGCTTCTGGATTTTGAAGAAAACATGAAGGTCCACTCGGCTCAGAGTTTTTGGAGCCGTCACCTCACAATTCCGCGTAATTCCACCAAGCAAAGCTTGTGGAAATCCAGACATCTCCGTCCACAACTCCACGCTGAGGGCGGCGCCGAAACTGGACAGAAAAGAGAAACCAAACAGAAATAGCATATATGGTATACGATGCAAACTCACTTTTGAGGGCGGCGCAAAACAAACTAAGCGAAGCTTAGCCGGCATCGGACTTGCTACCCATTGGCAGGAGGCACAGGAAGCTTGCATTGAAAGGCTTTGAAAGTTGAGGGAAGAGTACCTGCGGGTTTTCCATCTCTCGCTCTGTCTCTCCGTCTCTCTCTGCCGTGCATCACGCTGTCAAGAAAGGAAAGCTCTACTGGACGGTAGCCCAAGACAAACTCGAAGATCGTCTATCGGAGTCTACCGGACTAGCAAGGCAGCCAGCACCGGCATGGGGAGCAGGAGAGCCTGGGCACGCGCATGGAACCATTGGCCAGCGCGTCAAGCATCCAATTCAGCACGCTGCCTACGGGCAGCCCGGGTGCGGAAAGAGCGTACGACGACACTGAACCCCTAACTCTCATGGCCCATAGCCTCACTTAATTGCCGAAAGGGAGGCATCGTACTGTTCCGGCATTGATAGCCGAGGGGGACGTCTTAAGGCCGTTTTGAGGCCCAACAATGCCTATGGCCTTGCTTGGAATGTAGGTGAGGCCCGACACCCGCACGAGTCTCCGGCATCCCGCGAGAACTCACGCACCATGTGTGCCGATGGGCCTGAGCGCGATGCAAGAGCTGGACGAAATCACCACATACAAAAGAGATCTCAACCCTGCTTCTGAGAGCTTGACGGACCCAAGCGGAGGCCAAGCAGGTGCATTGTTTTTCGCCCGGTCGCGAAGCAACATGACTTTGACGCAAAGGGGCGCCCGGGACCAACATCCCCCATGCCTTGGTCGGTTTGCCCCATTGCGGTGAATCAAAGGCTGTCTTCCATCCTCCTCTGACTCTGTAAGCTTAGACATCCCCCGTCTGTATGTGAATGAGGTGCGTTGCCTTGTCATCAGTGAGATGCAAGGGGACACCCAAAATTGGCACGGCGATGGGTCTCTGCAGCTCGATACTGGGCTTTAAGCCCAGCCTTGAGCTCAGCAATCGCGCCTGGAACACATTCCACTGAGACTGACACATCACGTCACCGATGCTTCCCTCGGGCCTCGTGCTGGCCTCAGCTGAAGGTTCAGAGTCACAAGTATAGGGTTGTTAAAGTATCCGACAAAGGAGTTCCAACCAATTCTCAGCGATTCTCATCCCCAAATGTTACCCTATTTTGACTCCCCAAATGCAATGGCAATTACCCATGAACCTCCAAGTGGCCATTTTTTCCAATCGCCCATTGGGCGCGCGCGCGCGCGTGCGCTCTCCCCATGGCACTCTCAACCAAGGTGAACCTAATTGTTGAAACTTGCCCTATTTCTTTGTGTCTCAGCTGAGAATGCCTCGGGCTACTTCTTTCACGTTCTCGACAGTGGTGTCATTCTTTGATTCTCTGCACGAGATCACACACGAACGGTTCACAACATGTCGTGTCACACACTGACGGAATCAATGGCTCCACACCTTGCAGCTGTCTGGTTTGGCAATACATTTATCTTTCCTTCTGTCTTTTGCTCTTTCCCATGTCTACTGCGCCCAACAGAGAACCTGGAATAAACAACTTGCACAGGATCTACCCTTGACCACCTCAACCCTAATACCGCATAGGAAGATAGGAGGGCGTTCATGATCAGGCGGTAAGTTTTCGCAGAGTTGAGTCTACAAGTATCGGATCCTCTGCCACCGTCGCTTGCAAGCTAAACGTTCATGATTCATGATTCTCCGAGTTGATATCTAAAGAACCCTGTTGCATGCACTCACAAAGCAGCAAACCTAAGCCCCCCTAATCCCAAGCCTTGCGTCGGTGCAGCTTCAGAACAGCTTGGCATCAGGATAAAAGAGGGTCATCATGTCACTGCTTCGCAGCCCTTGCGCTACATCAGTTGGCCACTGTGACTCATTGCGAAAATGGTTCATCATCCGTGCATACTGCATTGCCCACGACTGTCGCGACTGATTCATGACGTTCTCAGATAAGTTCACACTCAGCCAGGGCCGTAAAGCAGCTTCACGTGCTTTCATGCCTGCCTCCAGCCCTGGCAGCACCACCCAAACAGCAGTCGGCAGAATGGCAGCCCTCTCGCGAAATACATCATCCAAAGAAAAGTTAAGCCCAATCCTGTACAAGGCCAGGTAGGTGTCCCACCACCAGTGATTAAACCTGTGGCTTCCAAATCTGGTATGATTGATGATGCCCTTTACGAGGTCTTCGTCAGAGCAGCCCTGGAAATACTTTTCCGCACAGGAAAGATCCCCGTGGCAATCCATTGTAACAACCATCTGGAAATGGGCTGACACCCATAGGGGTCCCGGTCTTCGAAGTCCCGAAACAATCCTCGGCGTCGAGATATGGCCGTCTGGAGCAGATCACGATAAGAACCTTCCCACCCTAACTGGACACTTGGTAAGGGACCACTACCATACCCGTTGGACACGGGCCAAGGGGTCAAGCCACAAAAAAATCGGGGTAACATTCTTGGGCGCCAACCATTTCCGGGGATAAAACTTGATTTGCAAAATTCAGGCTTGAGCCCCTCTGCGGGAGGCAAACTAACCTACAGCAAGCTGAGACAGGTCTGTGTTGAAAAGGGGCCCTGTGCATAAAATCCTCATTCAGGCCAAATGCCTGCAGGACAGAGACAAACAGGAAACATTACCCTGGATAAAATCCTTGGGCCTGACCCTGACAACAGACTGTGGACCCAAGCAGGCCTGACATGCACCCATGTTCCTGGGATAAATTCTGAGGAATCCGCTCAGACACAAGCGTGATGGAAACCCAGCTCGGGATACTATCGGAGGCTTTGCCGTTTCCGTGGCCTGGGCTGTGGCCCTCGTGGCCCCCGCCCCCCCCCATCCCCGTACCCCCCCCATGTCCCCCTGCCCTTTGCCCCCCCTTTGCCCCCCCTTTGCCCCCCCTTTGCCCCCTTTGCTGCCCCCTTTGCTGACCCTTTGCTGCCCCCTTTGCTGCCCCTTTGCTGCCCCTTTGCTGCCCCTTTGCTGCCCCTTTGCTGCCCCTTTGCTGCCCCTTTGCTGCCCCTTTGCTGCCCCTTTGCTGCCCCTTTGCCCCCTTTGCCCCTTTGCCCCTTTGCCCCTTTGCCCTTTGCCCTTTGCCCTTTGCCCCGGGAGGCCTCTCGACATCCCGACAGCTGCGGCGGCACTGTGATCGGTCTGCCATTGAGATGAGAGTACATCCCAGTAAAAGCGTACTTTTTCGTCTGAAAAATGACCGCTTCTTCCTCCTCTTCTAGTTTCCGCTGGCTGTTGGCCTTCGACGCAGCCTCATCGTGGTTGCTGGCAAGCAAAATGCAGACATTGGTTTCTTCTTTATATCATGATTTTACATTTGTTTGCAAAACGCGGCCGCGCCTGCGGCCCTCTGCGACCCCTTCGGGGCCATGATTAGGACCCCGCGGGCTCCCGGGACGTCCGCCCCGCAAGCGTTTACTGCCTAAACTTGTCTTGTACAGATACTTGGGCTAAACAAAAGCGACAAGCGACAAGCTTTCCATTCAAGCCCAACGTCAAGCACCAACTTGCAGCCGTGCAGTTTACTAGCCAACGCAGTGCTTCTGTGTCCCAATGAGATGCACCTTCCACCCCAAGATAATGTCCTCGTATCGCCTTTCCATATCCCAGGGAAGCAGCAGCAGCTCGAAGCAGAGTGGTGGAGCCCGTCTTCGGGTGGCTGGCGATAATCACGCGGGCAGGAAGCCCAACAATATGTGGAGCCGTCTTCACTGAACACCTTTGACAAGCTTCTCTCCGCTCACCGACGCTCGACTCGCTTGACTGGTTCCACCAGATCACGACACTGGCTGCTGTGCAGAGCACTGCTGCCGCCACGCTGACACGCATCTTCATTGCGAAGTCCGGAGACTCATAGTCCGAATATGGCACATGACAGATCATGACAGATGTTGGCCCTCTGTGAATCGTACAATTCAACCCTTCAATCTACACACAAAAAAGCTAATGCAAATACGCAAATCACTGAGAGCATCAAGCGCAGCGGCAAAACCCAGACCCCTGGGAGGATCTCGAAAAGATCCCTCAAAAACAATAACTCCTATGCACAAGTGTTACCCTATACCACGGGGGTTATACATTACATGACTATACTGTACTTCCTAGATACTCTCAGGGGGGTATATCCGGTCCTCCCCAAAGTTCATATTTGGGCTGGGGTTTCTACGGTTTGTGCCTTGCAGCGTCGGCGCTCTTTGTTCGTGAACCTTTTTGAACCCGGGAGAAGAGTTTTGAGTTTTGAGAGACTTCGGGAAGCCTCGAAAACACGAGGTAAACTCACAGAGGTGTAACAATCGGGGGGTGCAGAGAGATCACTGCGCTGAAGGCATGCCCATCGGCAACAGGACGCGACAGGGTGACCCGCAGAGTAAACATGAAGCAGTCACCTAAGTCGCATAGCCCAAGGAGCTCTTTGGCTATTGGGTCATGTGAAGTGTGGACATGTCTCACACTGTAGAAACGGCAGCTACCAGCATGACAGCCAAGGAGAGCGTACAAGAGACGGTCTTTGCAAGCTCCGACTCGTCGCCGCTGGCGCTGGTGCTGGTGCTGGTGCCCGCTCCCACTGGTTCAACAACGGCCCAGGTCTCGTTGCCCATAGTGTTGAACACGCAGACGCCTGTCTCAAAGAGGGGCCTCCATTTGCACATGGAGTCGGAAGTGCAGGCAACCTCGTCCTCTACCATGAGGCTGCAGGCGGACGTGTAGTCAAGGATGGCATCGTAGTCCTTCTGCCCATACCTCCGCTCGAACACTTTGCCTCTACGGACAACGATAATTGTGATTCCTATAGTGGTATTGAAAAAAGTCTTGAAAAATCAACGAACAGATCTTACTCTCCACAGAATTCTAGATACACTGGAGTCGAGCAGTTGCGTTCATCAATCGGCATGGGGCTCCACAAAGTGGTCCAAGGTCTCCAGCCATGGCCTGTCACTGCAGGGGGTTGGGCCTTGGAGGGCCCTAGAAGAAACAAACAAAAAATGAACTTCTCTACTTCTCCATTGCAGAGATGACCGGGCCCTAAGTAAAGTAAAAACTCAAAACAGACCCAAGAGGCGGGTCTTGTCCTTGGGAGTGCCCGGGACATCCATGCCCTTGCTGATCTTCCAGGCCACGTAGTCGTCTGCTGTCGGACCCCAATTCAACTCGCACGTCTGCCAGGACATGTTGCCGGCCGCCGCGTTCCAGTCAGCACAGAAAGCTTTGGCCTCCGATGTGTTGAACAAAACGTCATTGATGTCATGGTGGAATTTCAGGGCCACGCCAAATAACATCTCGGCCTGGCTGATTGAAGCAGCGCAGGCGGCGCTCCGCGTGCATGACTCGGAGGTGGCAGGGACGTAGGGCCTCAGCGCCGCAGCACTGTCAACAAGACCAGAGAGCCCAGCAAAAGCCGAAACCTGACCCCAGCTTTGTTTATTGACTGTAACCTAACAACGGCCTGCCTACGAACTAGGACGAGGTGGTACCCCGAAGAGCCAATGTGAACGGAGTTCAACCAGTGCCTGGACAGATTCAAACAAGGGACATGAAACTCACGACACGCCTCTTAGAACAACTTATTATTTTACTTCGAACATCCCGACCTTGGGGTTGGGCACTCCAGGGAGCCTCTGAGGTTGGACACTCTACCGGGCGGAGAAGAGTTCCGGGCGAGGAGAAGAGTTGAGTTTAAAAACTAACAACCCCCACACCGAAGGTAGGGAAAAACAAATGAGCCACGTTCTTGATCGCAAGCCTGCAAAAAACACCACAATTATTTCAATTGTTCGGAGTTACGAGATGGAAACACTTCGATCGAAGGAAAAGACACTCAAGCAGTTAGGTGAGATCAGGCGCAGGATCGGATTCTTTCCGTCCATCAGCACGTGCACTGGAGCATTGATGATGTGCATGGTGCTTGCCAGGGCAAACCACGAGGTTCTGGCCGTTTCCGCAACCTGGCGCGCTAAAAACTCTTCACATTCTGATACGGGCTGTTCTTGATTGTTCTTGCAGTTCTGCGTCGCGGCCATCAAAACCAGGCTGCCGGATCAAAAAAAAATAAAAAAGTATCAAAAAAAAATTACGCAGCCCAGGATCAAAAAATAAATAAAAAAAAAAGGATCAAAAAGAAAATAAACTTCGAACGTTCGAGTACTAAAACTCGATTTTTGGTACGTTTTCGGAACCCGATCGAGGACCCTCTCACACGAAACGCGTGTCGAGGCGCTAAACCTCGAGTTTTGGAAGGTTTTCCGGGCACTATCTAAGACCTAATTTTATCATATATAATACATAATAATGGAAGTATATATTAAATAACATATAAAATATAGTATACAATATATAATATATCAGTAGTAGTAGTAGTAGTAGTAGTAGTAGTAGTAGTAATAATAATAATAATAGTTGTTGCTGTTGTTGTAGTAGGTAGTAGTAGTAGTAGTAGTAGTAGTAGTAGTAGTAGTAGTAGTAGTAGTAGTAGTAGTAGTAGTAGTAGTAGTAGTAGTAGCAGCAGTAGCAGTAGTAATAGTAGTAGTAGTAGTAGTAGTAGTAGGAGCAGCAGCAGCAGCAGTAGTCGTAATCGTAGTCGCAGGAGAAGTAGTAGTAGCAGTAGTAGTAGTAGCAGTAGTTGTAGTAGTAGTAGTAGTAGTAGAAAAAGACCCCCAGTTGCAAACACAATGCTCGCATCATGGGTCTCGAAAAGACGTATGCTTTGAAGCAAGCTTGCGCGATTTGAAAAAGCGGGGTCTGGGGGGGGTGCAGCCCCCCCAACACGCAAACACAATGCTCGCGTCATTAATTTCGAAAAAAAAAAACGCTTATTTTTCGAAGCAAGCTTGCGCGACTTGAAAAGCGGGGGGGTTGGGGGGGGCGCAGCCCCCCCCATTTGCAAACACAATCCTCGCATCATGGCTTTCGACACACGCGTATGCGTTGAAGCAAGCGGTTGCGACTTAAAAAAAGAAGCCAAGAAGCCAAGAAGCCAAAAAGCTAAAAGCCGAGGAGAGCCAGGAAGCCAAGAAGCCAAGAAGGCAACAAGCCAAGAAGCCGGGAAGCCAAGAGTTCCACTCGGAAAACGTGCCAAAACTCAGGGTTTTAGCGCCTCGAGATGCGTGTCGTGTGAGAGGGTCGTCCATCGTGCTCTGAGAACGTACCAAAACTCGAGTTTGTGCGCCTCGAGACGCGTTTCGTGTGAGAGGGTCGTCGATCGCGGCCTTATTTTTTTTTTTGATCCTTTTTAATTTTCTTTTTGATCCTTTTTTATTTTCTTTTTGATCCTTTTCTATTTTTTTTTTGATCCCTATCCCTCAAAACCAAAAGGTCCTTTTAGGTCCGACATGCGTTGCATCGCCATGGGCGTGCATCCCTTCAACTTCCAACAGACTTCGGCCCCTGGCGCCTACTTGAAACCTACAGTATACATCTGATCCCAAACAAGACGTCCAAGAAGAGAAATAGATGACATGGCAAAGACCATTGATTGGTTACCAAAGATTGCTACTTGAAAAATCCCAGAAATTGATTGCTCTCGACATGATCGCACATGCAAGAACTATTAAGACTTAAACTTCTGGAGGTCCAAAAACCAAAATGAATGTTGACAGAATTTTGGATCTCCTTCAAATATAGGATCAAAGAATGAAGATCACCCAATACTAGAAGAAGCGTGCCGGATAAGATTGGTCGTGTGAATAATAACCTTAAAAGCATGGAAGCTGTGATCAAGAAAGCCCAAGGAAATAATGGGATAGCCTTTAAGGTCAGATAATAAGATCTGAGATTTAGAATTGTTGTCCAAAAGTGAAGAGATGTAAGACATGAAGATATACCAGGGAGTAATAATCCAAATATAATTCCTGTACTTGAAGATGATAAAGTCATGAAAGAAGTGGATGATAGTGGGAAAATGTTGTTCATCCGGTACCACCTCCAAATTCTGAGATCATGGAAAAGGTTAGGAAAAGACATGAAAGCAAAAGAATTAAGAAAGAAAATCACTGGCTCTAAGATATACCACTTCTGGAGACGCTTGAGAGATAGGCACAAAATAGTTTCCAAATGCTCCGAACCAGGCATTACCAAAAGAAGATCATAAGAAAGCCATGCAATGAAATGCTGATATTATAGGAGTTCCGGTTTTCTGGAGGTATACGCCGATTTCCTGATGAATATAATTCGCTTCGTATAAGGGCTCATATTAATGTTCCGGAGATTCCAAAGATGAATTCAGATAATGATAACAAATTCCCCAGCCTTTATGATTACAATGTTTAACCTTTGATAGTAAAGAAAAAAGAAAAAAGATACGACAACTATGAAGATAGTGATTCTAATTCCAAGACAAGTAAGCTATAATATCCTCGTCCTTGCGTTCAACTTGTTCGCGCTTTAATAATTATCTGCTCTGGGTGTGAGACGACTATATGGGAAGTTGGGTGCAACCTGGGCGTGAAACAAGACATGACAGTAGAAGAAAAACAATTAGAACTAAAGCGATAAATATGACAAGGGTATAATTGATATGACATCTTGCGGGCTTATAAAGAGAATGATAGTACAGCCCGTAAAGGGTCCATCCAAAATACCAATTCTTAAGGGTTTTTGTTCACCTTTCCAATCTCAAGATAAGAGAATTAGATGCACAAAGCGAGCCATATAAAAAGCACATCTGACCTAGACGCGTCACTCTCTCAAAGTAAAGGGCACACACGAACTGTCACGAACTTTCCTGGGAGAAGGGCAAGCCTCGCACAAGAGCATCCAGGGCTCCATGCTTGCCGGCTGAATCGTTGTCGTCACGTTGCCTGAGGGTGCCGAGGACACCTGAACGGAGGTGGTCTCGTCAGAGTACATGAACAGGAGAATGCTCTTGAAGGGATGGTTGGTTGCGATACTAGCCAGGAATGTCTCCGTATTCGTGCCAACCTCAGCAACAGCGAGGGTGACCATGTCAGCCGCCAGATTCTCGAATATGTTTTTTTTCGACACATGCCGGACGAAGGCTGACACCTCGAAGCTGCTGTTCATGAGGGTATTCGCATAGTTCGCGATCAACATGGTATTGGAGTTGTACGTCGTGGTGCTGCAGTTGCACCGAGCCCAGGCATCCGCAAAGATGGCGCTAGTTCCGGCCATTGCAGCTGTGGTCATCATGGAATAAGCTACATCAAAAGCCATGTCGTCCATCGACACATCGCCCTGAATCGAGAAGGTGTCGTACAAGAACCGTGTCCACGGATGAAGCAGGTTGTAGATTGCATTGCCATTGATATGGTTGACCACATAAGACGGCATCAACTTCATGAACGTGTCCCAATTGTACCCAAGGTACCTGGGCCATTGAATCCGCGCATGTTGGCATTTGTTCTACCTTTGCTTGAATGTTAAAGGCCACCCACGTGAAGGGAGACAGGAGAGACAAGCGGAGACGAGGAGCCCAGGAACCCGGCAGAGGCCACACGAAAAACTACAACTTGTCACTCCATCCGCAAAGTGCTACTGTCTCCGAATGCCACGCTGTGGCTGCAATGTCTCCTAAAATCCCAAAAACAGCACCTTCCAAAAAATGAACGGCCTCAGCCAAACGTCGAGGCGCTTGCTGCCCCTGATCGCCATGTTGCTGCTGGGCATCTCCTCAGCCTCGGACACAAAGGTGTCGAGCCATCCAGGTTTCACCTTAGTCAAACCCAGGACCTAGAGGAAGCACCGGAACCGGCACGAAAGAAAATATCCTCAGAAGGAACCCAGTCACCGGCACAGCATCCATCTCCATCAAAAAGAAGCTCTCGTACATGTCCCTGTAGGCTCCGGAAAACATCGCGGTCATGATCTCTTTGAAGATCGTGTTGGGCCCTGTGACCCAAAAGCGATTCATCTGGTAGCCCTGCCCATCGTACTGGTCCTGGTAAGATCACATTAGCACATAAGAACATCGACACCAGCACCAGCAGCAAAAGGAAGAGCAGTAATTAATAAGAACAACATATGTTTTTTCGCTCTGTGTTCAAGAAAGCTGCAGAATGCATGGGGGGGGGGGGGGGGGGGGGGGGGGGGGGGGGGGGGGGGGCCCAAAGCCTGAAGCAAACCCCAAAACTCGCGTACCCTTAAACCCTCAACCCCAAAGCCTGAAGCAAGCCCCAAACTCCTGCACCCTTAAACCCTAAACCCCAAAGGATCCAGCAAGGCCAGACCCCAAACCCCAAATCTCCAGTGCAAGCCCAAAACGTCTCTACCCTTAGCACACAAATCTTAAACCTACCCTTAAACCCAAAAAATCTCTTCCCTTAAACCCCAAACCCCAAATCTCCAGTGCAAGCCCAAAACGTCTCTGCCCTTAAACCCCAAATCTTCAACCTACCCTGAAACCCAAAGGATCTCTACCCTTAGGCCCCAAACCGCACATCTCCAGTGCAAGCCCAAAAAGCGCGAGAAACGCTGTAAATACCGGCGTTTGTTTCTTTTCTGACAACGCGTCCGTTCCAATTAGCGCGCGTAATAACGCGTTTTTAAAGCCCGAGAACACCGTAAACACCGATGTTTTCCTCTGGCGCCTAACGTAGTTCAAAGTAGTTTTCCGCCATTTTTGCACGTCCATTTTTCGCGTCCAAAAACGACCAAAGGCACAAAACACCGTAAATACCGATGTTTTCGTGTCTTTACACAACAAATGCACGCCAAAAACACCCTGCCATCAATTCAGCCCGCGACGCGTAGTAGTAGTAGTAGTAGTAGTAGTAGTAGTAGTAGTAGTAGTAGTAGTAGTAGTAGTAGTAGTAGTAGTAGTAGTAGTAGTAGTAGTAGTAGTAGTAGTAGTAGTAGTAGTAGTAGTAGTAGTAGTAGTAGTAGTAGTATAGTAGTAGTAGTAGTAGTAGTAGTAGTAGTAGTAGTAGTAGTAGTAGTAGTAGTAGTAGTAGTAGTAGTAGGAGGTGACACGCTCTTAACTGATCATGGTGTTTTCTGCTGTTTTTTGACTTTTTCTATCGTTTTCTCTGGTTTTTTCTGCGTTTGACGGGTTGGGGGGGGTGGGGGGGGTGGGTGGGGGGGGGGTAATTACGTGCTGTGCTTTGTGCACACATGACCATGCTGAGGGGTTGGGGGGGGGGGGTGGGGGGGTAATTACGTGCTGTGCTTTGTGCACACATGGGGGTCGTGCTGGGCTTTGTGCACGCTTGACCACGCTGTCTACTGTTTTCCTCTGTTTTTTTGGTTGGTTTAGGGGCAAGATCTTTTGGGCTCACAGTGGAGGGTTTAGGGTTTGCAGGTACAGATCTTTTGGGCTTTTTTGGGAACCTTTTGGGCTTCCAGTGGAAATATGGGGTTTGAGGTTTCAGCCTACAGATCTTTTGGTTTTTTTTGGCATCTGGGGTTTAGGGTTTCAGGGCAAGACATTTTGGGCTTACAGTGGAGGGTTTAGGGTTTGGGGCTTGAGGGTAGAGACCTTGTGAGGTTTTTTGGGATTTGGGGTTTAGGGTTTAAGGGTAAGACCTTTTGGGCTCACAGTGGAGGGTTTCGGGATCTTTTCGGCTTTTTGGGATTCACAGTGGAGGGTTTAGGGATCTTCTGGGCTTTTTTGGGATTTGGGGTTGAGGGTTTAAGGGAAGGGTTTGGGGTTGAGGCTGTAAGGTGAAAGGACTTTTGGGCTTTTTCTATGGGATTTAAGGTTTAAGGGGGTGCACTGCGGGACTGCTTTGTCATTCAGGGTACACATGGGGTTTGGGGTTTCAGGCTCCAGATGTTTTGTGTTTTTTCTGGGGACGTGCTTGACGCTGTGGGGTTGAGATTATAAGGGTGCACGACTCTTGGGCTTGCTTCAGGTTTCGGGGTTTCGGATTTCAGGGTGCACGACTGTTCGGCTTGCTGGAGGCGTTCGGGTTTAAGGACAAGTTTGGCCACATCTTAGAAAACCCGCGAAACGCTGTAAATACCGGTCTTTTCCTCTGTTCTGAGAACACGTCTGTGCAAAGTAGGCCCTGTAATTGACCGTTTTTGAAGCCCGAAAACACTGTAAATACCGATGTTTTCCTCCTGCGCCTAAAGTAGTTGAAAGTAGTTTCCGGCAATTTTTACACGTCCATTTTTCGTGTCCGTAAACGGACAAAGCCAGGAAACACTGTAAATACCGAGGTTTTCGTCTCTTAACACGAAAATTGCACGCCACAAAACACCTGCGATCAATTAAGAACGTGACGCCTAGTAGTAGTAGTAGTAGTAGTAGTAGTAGTAGTAGTAGTAGTAGTAGTAGTAGTAGTAGTAGTAGTAGTAGTAGTCGTAGTAGTAGTACGCCCCAGTAGTAGTAGTAGTAGTAGTAGTAGTAGTAGTAGTAGTAGTAGTAGTAGTAGTAGTAGTAGTAGTAGTAGTAGTAGTAGTAGTAGTAGTAGTAGTAGTAGTAGTAGTAGTAGTAGTAGTAGTAGTAGTAGTAGTAGTAGTAGTAGTAGTAGTAGTAGTAGTAGTAGTAAGTAAAAAGAACTATAGCACCCCAACAGTAAGTACAACTGTTTGCGGACTAAGCCCCTTTAATCAAGTCTTGCTTATTGCGGGGTTAACACGGGCAGGTCTTGCTGAAAGGTGAAAGCCACACCAAAACGAATGGAACGGGTCTTGCCTGCTGAACAGGTCTGTATTGGGAGGTTCCTGAAGCGCGAAGCCACACCTAAACGCGCGGGAGTGGTATGGAGCAACGGGGTACAACGGGGGAACGGAGCGGAGCCGACTTGGCGCCGGAGGCGCCCGTGGTGCAACAACTGTAACAACAAGCTGAAGAGCGAACACCTTGCAGTTGTAATGGAACACTGGAACAAGCAATCCTGCTGTTCAGAGAGATTGGCGGACATGTTCTTCACGCCAGCGAAGCACTTGGTCCAGTTTCGGTTGCTTGCGAATGCTTCTTCGAACCTGAGTCCCATTCACTACCCTGAGCCGGGTTTAGGGGTGCAGGGGTTTATGGCTTAGGGTTCACGATTCCTGAGCAAGGAAGATCCCCATACCAGGATACGTCTGAACAGCGTCCGACGCTTGCGCGTTCGTAGCCAAGTCCTGACTGTGGATTAGCAGGGTTGTCCTGTTACCTTGGTGAGGAATTTCACCGATTCACAGTGCAAACGTTCCCCCTAGCTCCGAATACCAAATTTTTCATCATCATATATATATATATATATATTCTAGCTTATTGGGGAACACTTTCTTTTAGGGTTCAGGTCTAATATTCGGGGGTGTTGGGCTCTTGTCTCGAGCCAAGCGCCTTGTCGGACAACTAGCAAGTGATAAAAGGATATAAAAGCTTCGAGGGCAGTCCTTGCTGCTCACCAGGATCAAGTCCACGGTGCTTGTCTTGCTGGTGTCTGCGCATGGCATCGTCTGATCCCAGTCTGTGAGGGACTGGGACCTGGGACCCCGCAGAAATCTTGTATTCCTCAAAACCTGGCCCCTGATTCTCAGCAGCCCAACATCTAGGTTTCCATTAGTAAGCGTGGCTTGGGTACAGGATTGAAATTCTAAACAGTTTGAATAGGCTTAAACTTAAACCACTTGAATCCTTCAGCCGGACAGCAGCAAGTTCACCTCTTCCTCTGTCGCGAAGACTCGCACGATTGCCATTTTGCCTTTTGTGTGCACCAAGGAAACTGCCATGACAAAGAGCGACAGCAACATCATAGTGCCACGCTGCCCCACGCCGTCTCCTATCAATCGTACTCGAGAAGCCAAAACAGCTAAAAGGTGTAGAAAATATGCGAAAATGCTTTCGCCAAACAATGGGGAAACTTAACCAGGGACGGCCTCCAAAACTACTTGGGACTGCAGAGCTTCTTCGCCATGTTCCGGGAAAGTTGGTTCAGGCGTTTAGGCCTTCAGGGGCTGAGAAGTACGCTCAGACCGCTCACAATATCTATGTACAGCATCCTTTTGGCAGCTCAACTGGCCAAACAGCCCTCTGCTTTCGAAGAGCATCTCTGAAAAGTATAAAGCGTCTCAATGATCAGACCTTCCTATACCAAATTGCCAATAGCTAACATCCGAACAGGACAAAAGCTTACCAGAAGAGCCTGCATCACCGCCACGCGTTTTGCCAAGACAAAAACCTTACCACAAGCACCTGCGTCACCGCCACGTGTTTTGCGAAGACAAGAACCTGTGACCACAAGCACTGCGTCACCACTCCCCCTAAACCCTAAACTCCCTCAAGCAAAACAGCTGTTTTGAGACATTGATCCCGCCTGCGATGCACTGTACTTTCAAAGCTGGTTTCCATGGCAAAACGCGTGGCGGTGACGCAGGTGCTTGTGGTAAGGCTTTTTGTCCCCGCCCCCCAACCCCCCACGAGGTGGTTTTGGCAAACCCTTCCACGGGCGAAGCACGGAGAGTACTGAACTGGCTACCATTTTCCCGCCTAACCTCGGAGGTGGTTCTGGGTAACCCCTCCCACTTGCGAAGCACGGAGCGTAGTCAACCAGGAACCATGTGTCCTCCCCCGAACCTCTTACTAGGTGGTTCTAGTTAACCCCCCCCACTGGTGAAGCATGGAGCATACTCAACTAGCAACCATGTTCCTCCCCTGAACCCACCACGAGGGGTTTCCGGGCAACCCCCCCACTGGCGAAGCACGGAGCGTACTCGACTAGCAACCATGTGTCCCCGCCCCCTAACCTCAAACGAGGTGGCTCTGGGTAACCCACCACTGGCGAAGCACGGAGGGGTTAGGGTTCTCGGCAGGTTCCGCGGTCTGGCGGCGTGTTGGATGGATTGGAAGACGCGCTGCACACGCCGGGGGTGGGGGAGACCACCGCCTGGAGACTTCGTTAGGGTGGCAGTGGCATTTCTGCGCGCGGGGGGCTCCTGCCCCCCCCCCCCCCCCCACCCAAAAAAACATCTCAGTGCTCCCTACAATTTTGGAAGCATTGTCGGCAACTCCTGGACCCCCACTGGAAAATCTGGGAAGCCTTGGAAAACTTGGGACGGGGGACTAAAGTTCTGCTGCCGGATGTCGGTGATGCTGACAATGACAACTTTGGCTACAGTGGCGAAGCAATGGAGCACGAAGCAGCAGCAAGCCGCTGGCTCTGAGAAGTGGGGCATGGAGCAACGGAGCACGGAGCGCTGCACCGGAGTAACAGAGCTCGGCACCAGACCAACGGAGCAACGGCGCCGTTGCGGCGCCGACGCCCCTGCACGGAGCAGCGGAGCACGGCCAACGGAGCAACGGAGCAACGGAGCAACGGAGCAACGGAGCAACGGAGCAACGGAGCAACGGAGCAACGTCACGCCAATGGGGGGGACGGGGACACCAGGGCACGGAGCACGGAACAACGGAGCAACGGAGCGGAGCAGTTTAGCAGTCGCGAATTGCACCTTCAATGGTACATTGAGACCGACGCGTGCTCACAGGCATCTTTCGGGCTGCCTTCGCGACCGCTACACAAAGTAGGCCCTTTAAAGGCCCTCTGGGCTTCCGAGCGCTGTGCGCTTAAGGGCCGCTACGGACGTTGAGCTCTGGCGTGCCGCGGGTTCTTGGGAGCCCTCAAGTGCGATCCGTCTTCCGGAGTGGACTTTTGTCCGATACTTTCAATTCAGTGCGCCTACGGCCTAAGGGAGCAAGGGCGTCTGCAAAAGTCAGGATCCGCAAAGCGATCCTACAAAGCGATTCGGACATTTTTCCAGTCCAGCTCAGGCTGTGGGGTTTTGATTGATGGATGCAGACGCCTCCGGCGCAAGACACCTCAAGGTCCATAGCATTCCTGCCTGCACTGCCAGAAGTGCTTTTCTGGTACGCTCATGCAGTTCAAATCTGTACAGATCGGGGTGCCTGATAGGGAGGAACCGTTCAGTCTGCGCAGCCTCCTGGCAGTCAATCGTGCCATGGACTCATGCAACTTGAACTGTATGCCTGCATGTCCTTGTGCGCAGCCGCGAGACTTTCGGGATCTGAGGCACTGCACTTTTCGCTTGCCGAACCCCTATAGCTCCAAGGCCCAAAGCACCGAACCCATTCTGAACCCATTTTGAACATTCTGAACCCTGTGGAGCCCTCCTGCAGGCTCCCGCTGGCTGTCCCCCGACCGCCGCTGGGCGTCCTGAAACTGAACTCAAAAGACCGGAGGTGCACTCTCTCTGCCAGTTCTCAGAGAATCGGTGAATAGCTTTGGGCCAGCCCAAAATGACGGAGGCCCCGTTTGTCCGGTCGCTCTCGCAGACAGCAGCAAGATCGCAGTGAGAACAAGCAGTCGGGTCACACCCTAGGTTGAGAAAGACTATGAAATTTCTGAAAGACTCTGGCAAAAGAGAGAAATTTCAATAAAGCCAAAACATGTCGGAAGACCGAACCTGACGCGGAGGGTCTGGGGATGACCGCCTTGTATATCTTTTCAGTGGGCTCAGGCGCTGCAGGAGCGGCTCAAAGCTCGACATGCTTGGGCGTTTCGATCATTTTGGGGATGCCAAGAATACTTCTACTTGTGATCCAGACCTTTGAAACGGCTCGAGAAGCTCTTACACCCTAAATCCTAACAACGGGGAAAAAAGTGCAAAGCGCTCGTTGGAGCGCCCCTTTGGTAAAACAACACATCCCAATGCAGGACCTTAAGCCCCACAAGCACACTCCGAGACCGCGAAGTCCTCCGCAAACCTTTTCTTCTTGGTGGAGGACTTTATATTGCACAATACTGCGTCACGTTGTAGCACACTTCGCCTCGGCTAGCGTTTAGAATTAGAACTTTCGCTCGGGTGGCGAACTGCGGAGTCGCAAACACCCACTGCAGCAGGGTGGCCACAGGGGTCGTAGAGGTCAGGACGACCTCTCGGGTCCCAGTTTGGGGCGGCTCAGTCTTCAAGGTTTAGGGTTAAAATGGGTTAAAGCTCACGCCAGGGAAGCTGCGCCCTGTGTAACTCTGTGCAACTGGTGCCTACTTCTATGCCGAGGACATTGTGTTCCACAATTCAGGCAGGGCAGCAGGGGCAACACTTAGATCCAGGACTATGCGTCTCTCTTTCCTGGCCATGCATGAACTCTCACACGTGAGTTGACTGCAGCCCTTCTTGGCATGACCTTCACACTCACATTCACACTCACACTCACACTGACACTCACACTCACAAGCGCTCACATGCACTCACATGCACTTGTACTCACACATAGCAAAATTACCATGATCACTAGGCATGCATCCATGCGAACTAGCATGACAACAGAACAACACCCTAAACCTGGAAACCCCAAACCTTTGACAACTTTGCCCAAGGCACATTTCCGATGAGGCTAGCTGGGCTGCGACGCCTATTGATCTCAACGCCTGGCTCACGGTTCCGGGCTGGGGCTGAGCGGGATGGGGTCCAACATAGGAGCGTGTAGAACTGCCAATGTCAGCCCCTTGTCATCCCCAAGAACAGTCGGTACCCTTTTTGGGGGTTGGTTACTTTTCTAGAGGGGAACCTAGAACGCCAAAAGGCAAAACGGTACCACTGGGCTACCAAGAGAATCTCCGGGGCGAAAGCCTTGTGTTCAAGAGTGTCCATAGCGTTGTACGCAGAGTAGCATTCGTGAAAGTCGCCCGCAGTGAGGCTGCTTGGTTCGTGGAGTGTGGTTTTGATGTTCAATGGAATATCCTTGAAGAGCAGCCGTACTGCCTGGATGATGATCTCTTTGAATCACCCTGACTTTAAATGAAAATCGGAACCACAAAACGGACCATACACTTTGTCTGTATCCCTCCAGAATCTTAGCACACCAAGACCCGATGTTGCATGTTGCACGTCTCCTTTTCTTACAAAGAAATGTAGAAGACATCCTGTCCTAGTTCTGCTGCCTGCATGTTTTTGGCTCATTGCTTCTTTCTCGCTTGATGTTCCTGACTGACTTGCTTGCTTGCAGTGCTTGCCTTCTTGCTTGTAGGGCTTGTTTGCTTGCTTGATCGTTTTGCTTTCTCGCTTGATCACTTGCTTACTTGCTTGCCGGTCCGCTCGCTTGCCTGCTAACTTGCCTTTTTGCTTGTCATATTGTCGCCCCGGACGACGGAAAATTATCCAATAGCAGACCCCCCGCCCCTATTGCACTTTGCGGTGCAGCAATGGGTGCAATACTGTACTAGGCACATTACATAACATGAAACCCCCAAAACCCCCAAAGAAACCTCACACAGACCCTCCCCAACCCTTAAGCCTCTATGAGCCGTATACAAACCCGAAACCCTAAATTCTGAACCCTCACCCTTTTAAGCCCTAAACGAAATATGGCTCTTTCAGCCCGGCTGCGCGGTCGCGGGCTTCAAGGACCAGCACGAAGGCGCTACCTTGGGTCAGCTTTCTGACATGGATTTGTGGAGTTTAGGCTTTAAGCTCAGGGCTGAAATCAATCACTGTTTGGGGTCTTCGCTGGTGTACTTGTGTTAGAATCACATTGCTAGCCACAAGGGTACCATTGTCTACTTTTCCTCCGATTAGCACACTGAAATTGCTGCACACTCTTCCCACGAAAACAACTACTTTTCTGCTGCGCAGTACTGCTAAAACCTTAGACCCTAAAGCAAACAATGAGTCCAGTATCCAAATCTTCCCACATGTGTGTGTCCTTTGCTGCAATAGCCCCAGAGGAGAAAGCTGCAAAACCCCACAAACATCGTGTCAACGCTATAGCTCTGAAAAACATTCAGACCCTTTTTAAGCCAGCAAGACGCCCGTCAGGGATCAAACTCGCCCTCGAAACTCTATCAGCCACCTCCCCATAGGCGCCTCACCGCCACCAGGGCAGCGCCGATGACGAGGACATCCGCAGAGGTCGGCGTCGCCATGTGGTGGATTTTTGCTCCGAAGGATTGTTGACTGTGGCTGGCAGGCTTTGATGGCTTGGGAGAGTTCAGGGCTTGGAATATGGGCTTCAAGAAAGGGTTCTGCAAGGTTTCATCGGAACTTCTAGTATTCTAGAGCTTGCCAGGGATGTGTTGGCACTTGTCAAAAGACTCGGCCGATTGAGACTGCATACATCACCCACATAAACACACCCATGATCCCTAGCCACTACAACGGGGAAGTTACTGAAGCACATTGGCCGCAGAAGAATCAAAAGATTTGATAAGGTCAGCTGCGAACTTGTCGAGGGGCTTGGGGGTGAGCTCTCCTTGCCCCCAAATACTCTTCCATTACAGAGCACAGAAAGGGTTGGGGCGTGCACGGTCTGAAGCTTTGGCTTTTGCTCTGCTCAATCACGGACCTCCGCCGGGTACGGAGAGCCTTCTCAATTTTGAAAAAAGCAGTTTTGTGGAATAAGCCTTTGCGCAGTATCCTACAGAATCGTACCATAGACCCTGGTTTAGTAGAGTGGAGACGATTGAGATGCACATCATCTCAGGTGCTCGGCGAGCTGCGTCTCATCCTGAAAGCCCCAAGCTTAACGAACTCTAAGACCCCAAGCCCAATACTGAGGTCCCTCAAGTTCTGTCAACGTGCCAAGCATAGATGGGACCAAGACTCCTAAACGCAAGCGCTTTGGGCTCAGGGAAGACTCTATACAATCCGTTTCAGCGCTCTCACTGGCCAGTCTGGAAAGCCGGGCCTAATGCCGTGCTACGTCCGCAAAGCGAACACGATGTGGATGCCACATGGAGATTCTTGCCTCGGGCATCCCACCGGCAGTTTCATGGTGACGTCGTTGACCGACAAACCTTTTGAACCAGCTTTGACACAAATCAGTATCCCCGGAAGTTACAGCAAAGGCGCCTCCTGTAAGGGAGCTTTCAGCTGCCCATCCAAGGATCTATGTGAGGTTTGGGGGGTATATACACATATGGCCCGCAAACCAAAAGGCAGATTCTGGAGTTCAAGGAACTGAAGAGATCAATTTGTGTTTCCGGAGAGGAATAATCATAGCATCTTCGAGTCTATCGTTCGATAATGACTCGAAAGATTGAAGCCCGAGCCGTGACGAAAATCACGACGGGCGACTCGGAGAGGATCGCAACATTCGTTGGTTTTTCCGGAAGCCTCACAGATTTCAGGTGTTCACCTTCGGGGGAATAGATATCCACGCCCTCGTCAGTCAGGTAGAGGTTTCCCTTACTGTCGATTGCCATGCCATCCGAACCTTGGTCTGCAAATAGCATGCGACCTGACAGTGAGCCGTTGTTAGCAACTCTATAGCGGAAGGTCTTCCTGTCGCTCTGATCGCCGACATAAAGCCACTTCCCGCACGGGGTGCCCACGATTCCGTTTGGGCGAACCAGTCCATCAGCTGCCAATGCCAGAAGACCTCTCGAATTCAGGAAGTAGACCGATTCATGATCGAGCTCCATCGACTCGCGATTGGTGAATCTGGGATCCGTAAAATAGATCCCACCATTTGGAGACAGAAACAAGTCATTTGGGCTATTTAGCTTCTTGCCCTCGAAAGTATCGATTAGCTTGACTAAATCACCATCGCTGGTTAATTTCGAAATCCTTCTGGTGTGCTGTTCGCAAATGAAGAGGTTGCCATCGGTGTCAAAGGCTAGGCCGTTCGCTTGGCCGTTCTCTTCTTGAAAAAGAACGACCTCACCGACCTCACCAGCTTGCAGCCAACGATAAGTCCTCCTTGTAAAGATCTCTGTGAAGTAGACCGAGCCGTCGAGGGCCAGCGCGGGTCCTTCCGTAAATCGAAATCCAGTCGCCAACCTTTCGACTTTCGGCTCTGCACAGAGGCAGCTGCCGGCGAATGGCAGCGCAATGGAAGCGATGCGCATCATCTCTGATATATAGATATATAGATATTTATATATATATATATGTATATATATCTTCTGAGGAAATGAAGATCTACTCTGCAACTTCCAACTACTCCAACGATCCGCTGCGATAGAGCTATCACAGGACTCGAAGTTTCTCGCTGATTCTTGCTGTATTTCTTGGATTCATCTCTTGCATCATCAACGTGTTCTTCGGCACAAAGCACGCACCATCTTTTCCAGGGCCAAGGGCTTGAACCCCTTCATCCGAATGTTTTGCGAGCTGGGATTCCAAACGTTCGGAACTGAGTGCTTATGGACCTCGAGAAGCATAATTAGGATGCAGAACCCCTACAAAAACTGAAAGATTCAGGCGTTGAAGCATTGGACATTGACCTGATGTATTCGGAAACCAGAAGACCAGAAACTTAACAAACGGTGCTCGCACCGCGAGATCCCACGTCTACATGACTCTCGGACCAAACACGCTCAGGGTTTGAGATTAAGCGTTTGGGACCCTACTCTTTGAACCTCAAATCCCATTGTCAAGGTCAACATGCCTTCTGAAAGCTACGCTACCAAGCCAACTTCTCTTGTTCAGGGCAGTGTGCTGCTGGGGGATCTTGCTACTTCAAGTGAATAGAGGCGTAAACACCGGATTGCTAAGCTGCTTTATTCAAAATGACGAGAGGACGTGCCCTTAAATCAAGCCAACAAAGCTCCAGCAAAAACACGCATGCCATGCCAAAAAGCATCCCAAGTCTGCAACACCTGTCGCTTGCAACTGCAAACAACGAACGATGCGAATCCCACCACTCTTTTCACTCCACCTTCCCATCGCGCACGATCTATCGCTCAACCGGTGTGAGATGCACCTGGCAAAAGCGGTGCACTCGCTGCGTTTGACGTTGCGGGCCGCATCAGGGTGGGGAAGAACCGCTCCAAAGAGCGCAAACTAGCTTGCCGAAACTCACCGGTGCAAATCAGAAGGAGCGCGAATTTTTTGTACAAGTTGGCGGCTGCCCCGATGATGATCCCCATGCAGACATCTTCGGAGAACAACCGCTGATGTAGAGCTAGCAAGCCGAACGCGAGGAGAAAGGAAGCAAAGACTCGATGATGTCTTCGTGCTCCTCATGACAAATCTTCGCAAATCCGCTCCAGGACAAATGTTGCAGTGCCTGAATGCCACATCACCTGCCGCCCTCGTCTGCAAGCAGCGTCGGATCCACGGCCTCGCAGAAGGAGCACCAACCCAATTACCAAACTTCTGACAAGAACCTCAACCTACAACAAAATACAACACGAACAGCTCGCTTTCACAACCCACTGAGAACCCACAGGAAGCCACGGCAAGTGGAACATGCCCAACATCACCGGCACCTACAACTCACTCATGGCCTACCATGTCGCGCACAATCCCCTTTACACGGAACTTGGAAACAACAACAATTGCAACGACTCCTCTCCTCGGCTGTCGTCTCCTCCGACTGGTAGAGCTGGAGTTGGTCCAGGGGCACGTTGTCAAGCCGCGGTTTCGCCTTCTCCTTGACCATCTCGATGAGTGCAGCGACGTTCCTTACATTTGCTGTGGACAACTCGAGGGTTGTCTTGCCACCTTTGACTTTCACCCAAATTGACGCGGCCATGGAGCGAGGGAAGTAAGAAGCTAAGAACGACGCTAAGAACTGAGCACCTTGAAGCAAATTTCGTACTGGCAAAACAACTATCGAGAATTGAAGGGCTCAAATATTTTAGTTGCAAGGTCAAACGTCTCGCATGGGCCCCGTACTCACGAGTTCACGCTGGGGTCCTCGCCTCCGAACTTCGCAAAGTCACGGTCACATGTGGGCCGCTTCAATCCTCAAAATTCTCACGCTCCGCTGTTCCTGAAAATATCATAAACAAAATCCTTGCACGACGCAAAAAACTTGCCGGAACTCACGACAGTCCGTAAGAAGGGTTTCACAATCACGTCAACATGCCAAATATTTCATGCGAAAAAATTCCAACGCTGCAAAAGCATCCGCGCCAAGCATCCCCAATCGCTCACTCTGACGGACGTGCTTTGATTGGCCAGCCCTAAACCCTTTAGGCCCTGTGGTGCCACAAGGCCCTTCCAGCCAACCCAGTTCCCTTGCGCTTGTGATGGAAAATGCCCGCCCCCTACTATAAAACCGCCAGCAAAAAATGCAAACTCCAGCCAGCTTTGTCGTGGACAAGGCGGCGCGTCTTGCGAATGGCAACACCATCCTGCCCGTCAAAACTCTCACAGACCCCCTCACCTGGATGTCTGAAAGCTACCTGCGCGTCCTGTGGAAGCCCGCCCCTCACCCAGAGGCCCGCGACCCAAAGCGTGCCACCATCTCTTTGGAAATCGACGCCGAAACCAAGCAGCATTTCGAACATCTGGAAGCGGAAGTGCAAAAGCAAATTCCGAGCCAAACCCTGCCCAACGGCAAATACTTGACCAGCTACGACCTGAAAGACGCAACGCGGCATCGAGTACCTGAAGGCCAAAATCGACTTCGGAAAAGCGCGCTTCTTCGAAGATTTCCAGCCGACCATGGCCGCGCCCGAAGAGCTCGAAAACAGGACCGTGCGCGTGGTAGTCCGGGTCCGGCTAGTGTGGGTGGCACCCGCCCAGGTGAGCCTGTCCCTGGAAAATTCCGACGTCATGCTGGGGCCGAAGGCCGAGGACGACCTCTCATGCCCTTTTATGGCCGCCTAAACCTACAGAAAAGCAACAACAAGGCCCTGAGACGCCAACCGAAGCTCGTCGGACCAGCTCCCCTGCTTGAAACAAAACCCACACCCACACGGAAAACATGGCATCACTTGCACGCCAGCAAGCGCAGGTGTGCGCAGCCATCGCCGCGGGCGCCCGCCCGCGCACCACCGTGGCTGGAGCCACTGTGCTTCCTGTTGCACGCGGCGCCAATGGCGCGGGCGTCGTCTACCTCGCTCAACCTGATGGCACAACACGCCATTGGAGAGCTTTTATTACCGGGAGACTGGCTCGCGCCCACCCACCAAGTGGTTGGACTTCGGCCAGCCACTGATCCGAGAAGGCCCCAACGACTACGTGCTCTTGCCTTGCGGAACTGCCTCAAGCGACTCGTAAGGAGCCTGCAGCCGAACGGCAAATTTCACGTGACAGGGCTGGGGAAGGTATTCTTCCAAGACAAGTTTACAGAATATCTGGCCCACGTGCCGGTGATCATCCGCGGCACGCGAAGAAGGGGCAGGAACGCTGGCCAGGCCTACGAAAGGCCCGACATGCTGCCAGTCACCACGCTGGGGCTCCGGCAGACGCGCCTGAACGATGCTTTGTCGCAGCAAGAGATCCTGGCCCGCATCAAGCAAGACGTCTTTGCCCAAGGACTGGCCGACGGCCAAGGCAACAGAATTATCATGGAGCAGAGCGAGGAAGTCTACTTCTTGGACAACTCTCGAGACTGGGTCATCTCCTCTCAATCCACACAGTACATCAACGACGAGGTCCGGGTGGAAACCCTGCTGAACCAGCGCCTCGCAAGGGTCCGCGACGTCTCCTTCCAGCTCTTTGCCAGCCACGAAATTCTGGACGAAGCCTTTGAGCCCTAGAGCAAGGTTGGGGGGGGGGTTCGAACCTGGGTTCAACCCAGGTTCGAACTCCCGGCCCTCGGGGGGGGGGGGGGGGGTGGGAACAACAACATCGAGAATTTTTTTTTCGAGTTGAGCGAACAAATGCGATCCACCGTCTTGGTGTTTGGGTTGTGAAAACCGTGCCTCTGTACTGGCACTCCTGATGGCCCTCTTGGCCCTATGGTACAGGGGGAGGAAAGCACCTCCTCCTAGGCTACCATCCTCTTTGGGATGCTACCAGAGGTTGTACCTCAGGAGAGAGGATTGAACCTCCTGGCAAAAACACCTCAGGTTTTGGTGCAAGGGGTGCAAACCGTGAGGGGAGGGCCAGGGGTGCTCTCTGGCAGCGAGGATGAACCTCTGCTTTCATCCTCTTTGGGATGCTACCAGAGGCTGGTACCTCACGAGAGGTTAGGAACCTCCTGACAAAAGTTTCCTCAAGGCCTTTGATGCACTTGGTGCAGGCTGACAGAGGGAGGCGGTCAGGGTTCCGCTCCGCTACCGAGGATGGTACCTCTTGCCTTTCCTCGCTGGGAGGATGCAACCTCCTAGGCTGCATCAGCTGGTGGCTCCCTCAGGGGGACCAACTCCCAGCGAGGCTCTTCCATGATGTTGCCGAGGGGTCGTGCTAGCCCATAGTCCGGTGAGGGCAACTCATATAGGACTTTCGACAAACACCATGTCCATGTTCTTTAACTCCCACAGCAACAGGCTTGCCAGCATGGGGATGCTAGCATGGTGGAGGCTGACCCACCTCCTGACTTTGTTGCTTAGGGTGGGGGAGTCTTGGTCGAACCACCGGAAAAAGGAGACGAGCCGGGTTTGGCTGGGGAAACCGTAGTGTTCCCTTGTGCCCCAGTTGGCTACGTCCAGGGACGTTAACCGGTGGTACTTGGGCATTCCCAAGTACCCCCAGTTATGCTCCCCTTGATCCCGGGGATGGAGGTACCCCTCCGGAAGGCGTAGTCCTGACCAGAAGCACAACATAATGCACATCTGGAGGAACGAACCGTCCGGTGTTGGGCGGATGGGGGCCACCATCCGCTCAACTGTGAAGGCCCTCAGGTCCTGGGCCGGGATCCCAGGAACCTCGACCTGGAGGGTGAACCTCCGGCAGACCTGCGGCCAGGAATCGAGGGACAGCGCAAAAAGCTCCCACTCGAAGTGGTGGGCCTCTTGGGGGCCTTCAGGACCCAGCGGGGTTCCCGGTCAAGGGTGTAGCACACCCTTGACCCCCCCCGAGCAAGCATGGTCAGGAACCGGGTTTTGCCCTGGACCTCATAGGAGGCCCGGTCGGGCATCTGGTTTGCTAGGCCATTGCCTCAACCTCGGCTGCTTGCTCGGAGGATGAGGTTACCTCCCTCCTTCGCTGGCCTATTGCCCGTGTTGAGGTCTGCCGGGGGCTCTTGGTCCCTTGGGTCCTGCTCCTCGACTGGGGCAGGCTCCTGGCTGGTTTCGGAGGTATCCCCTCCTGAGCTCTGGGCTTGGTGCCAGTCTCGGGTGGCCCCCCACCAGCTGGAGGACCACCCTCCGGACCAGTGCTCGTCCCCCCATTGCTGCCATCCTTCCCACTCTTCGTGCCCCCATCCAGGGCGGGCAGCACGTTTGGCTGGCGGTGGCATGGGCGGGACCCTTTGGGCTGCTTCGGAGACAGCCTGCTGCCTCTGGGCCCTGGCTTTCTTACCCGGCCTGTTTCTTTGCCTCTGCAGGGTGTAGTCGTCTACAAACCTCTGCGCCGGGGTCCTGCGCTCGAGCAGGTACTCTCCCTTGCCTTGGGCTTTGCCGGGCTGCCTGCTCGGAGGAGGAACCTCCCTCTTTCTATTCTCCCAAGCCTCTGCCTCCGGAGGCTGCCCCTCCCCTGCCGGTGGTGCGGGTGGCAGTTCCTGGTTGTCTTCCTCCTTGGTCTCGGCAGGGGCTGCGTTGGAGGGTGGCCTGTAAAAAGCAGGGCCAAGAGTATGTCCAGGTCGGGGCAATCGTCGGTCAAGTCCCAGGACCTCAGACGGTTTTTCGGGGTGAGATGTATGCAGTTTTGCAGCTAGCCCGATACACCAAAGGCCCAGTTGACACGACACTCGATTGCCTTGGTGTCCCGAAACGTGTCCGCAACCCAAAACCGGGGAAAACACACGGTGACGTCTGGTGGGAGCTACAAGCTACGGAGGTCGACCGCCTCAAAATGAAATGGGTCCCGTCCCATCTCTCAGAGGAGGATTTCCTCCGGAAGGTCGGTGCGGAACACGCGTGGAGACAACAGGTCAATGACCTGGCGGACAAACTGTGTGGGGAAAAAGCGGCCGAGCTGGCCCGCCCAGAGGCCCGAGCAGCCAGTCAGTATCAGGACCATTGCAGCAAGAAAGCCCAGGAGTTCCTGGCGAGCAGGGCTGAAAAGATCCTCACCGCTGTAGGCGAGAACCAACACCCAGTCTACAAGGTCTTCCTGCAGGACAAGCAGGCCCGCAAAAACCCCGAGGCCAATGCAAGGCCCTGTAAAAAGCGGGTTGGATCCAACATAGGCCGTGGCCACACCACCACCCAGCAGGAATGGTTCCAGGAATTGGTCCGGACCAAATCCATACATGCCTGGGAGTGGGACGGTCTCAACCTCCGGTGTGCCCAGTGCCAGCTAAAACTTTTGCACACGAAAAACCGCAAGACCTTAGAGGCGCTGGCAGCACACCAATGTGTGCATCAAGGGAGGGTTGCGATCGAGGGGGTTCATGTTACGCATGTTTTGAAACTTTTAGGAACTAGGCAGCTTTGGGTGTGCGAGGGTTGTGGTGGTCAGCTGTCCCTAAAAACCCGAACGGTTTCGCAAAAACTTGCCGCTGCTTGTTGTTTTAAAAAGGACTCCCGGTGTAAGTCGCTTTTCAAGCCAGAAGCAACAAATCCCATCCGCAGCCTTTTTCAGCCAGCACAGGCAGTCAGGCCAGTAGAAGGGCCCAACCCCTCCGTGCGCAATGGCGGAAATGAAGCAGGAGGACCTGCCCCCCCCAGGGCCAGGAGGCCCAGGAAGCCCCAATGCAGAGTGAAGAAGAAAAGCCGGAGGGCGGGGCCTCCCCGGAGCCAAAGGCTCTACACCACCCCGCCGGCGACGACACTCAGGAGGGGCTACCCTCCCAAGCCAGTGCCTCCTCCAACGCAGCCCCTGCCGAGACCAAGGAGGAAGACAACCAGGAACTGCCACCCGCACCACCGGCAGGGGAGGGGCAGCCTCCGGAGGCAGAGGCTTGGGAGAATAGAAAGAGGGAGGTTCCTCCTCCGCCCGGCAAAGCCCAAGGCAAGGGAGAGTACCTGCTCGAGCGCAGGACCCCGGCGCAGAGGTTTGTAGACGACTACACCCTGCAGAGGCAAAGAAACAGGCCGGGTAAGAAAGCCAGGGCCCAGAGGCAGCAGGCTGTCTCCGAAGCAGCCCAAAGGGTCCCGCCCATGCCACCGCCAGCCAAACGTGCTGCCCACCCTGGATGGGGGCACGAAGAGTGGGAAGGATGGCAGCAATGGGGGGACGAGCACTGGTCCGGAGGGTGGTCCTCCAGCTGGTGGGGGGCCACCCGAGACTGGGACCAAGCCCAGAGCTCAGGAAGGGATACCTCCGAAACCAGCCAGGAGCCTGCCCCAGTCGAGGAGCAGGACCCAAGGGACCAAGAGCCCCCGGCAGACCTCAACACGGGCAATAGGCCAGCGAACGAGGGAGGTAACCTCATCCTCCGAGCAAGCAGCCGAGGTGGAGGCAATGGCCTAGCAAACCAGATGCCCGACCGGGCCTCCTATGAGGTCCAGGGCAAAACCCGGTTCCTGACCATGCTTGCTCGGGGGGGGTCAAGGGTGTGCTACACCCTTGACCGGGAACCCCGCTGGGTCCTGAAGGCCCCCAAGAGGCCCACCACTTCGAGTGGGAGCTTTTTGCGCTGTCCCTCGATTCCTGGCCGCAGGTCTGCCGGAGGTTCACCCTCCAGGTCGAGGTTCCTGGGATCCCGGCCCAGGACCTGAGGGCCTTCACAGTTGAGCAGATGGTGGCCCCCATCCGCCCAACACCGGACGGTTCGTTCCTCCAGATGTGCATTATGTTGTGCTTCTGGTCAGGACTACGCCTTCCGGAGGGGTACCTCCATCCCCGGGATCAAGGGGAGCATAACTGGGGGTACTTGGGAATGCCCAAGTACCACCGGTTAACGTCCCTGGACGTAGCCAACTGGGGCACAAGGGAACACTACGGTTTCCCCAGCCAAACCCGGCTCGTCTCCTTTTTCCGGTGGTTCGACCAAGACTCCCCCACCCTAAGCAACAAAGTCAGGAGGTGGGTCAGCCTCCACCATGCTAGCATCCCCATGCTGGCAAGCCTGTTGCTGTGGGAGTTAAAGAACATGGACATGGTGTTTGTCGAGGCTCTCATTGACATGAAAGTCCTATATGAGTTGCCCTCACCGGACTATGGGCTAGCACGACCCCTCGGCAACATCATGGAAGAGCCTCGCTGGGAGTTGGTCCCCCTGAGGGAGCCACCAGCTGATGCAGCCTAGGAGGTTGCATCCTCCCAGCGAGGAAAGGCAAGAGGTACCATCCTCGCTACCGGAGCGGAACCCTGACCGCCTCCCTCTGTCAGCCTGCACCAAGTGCATCAAAGGCCTTGAGGGAACTTTTGTCAGGAGGTTCCTAACCTCTCGTGAGGTACCAGCCTCTGGTAGTATCCCAAAGAGGATGAAAGCAGAGGTTCATCCTCGCTGCCAGAGAGCACCCCTGGCCCTCCCCTCACGGTTTGCACCCCTTGCACCAAAACCTGAGGTGTTTTTGCCAGGAGGTTCAATCCTCTCTCCTGAGGTACAACCTCTGGTAGCATCCCAAAGAGGATGGTAGCCTAGGAGGAGGTGCTTTCCTCCCCCTGTACCATAGGGCCAAGAGGGCCATCAGGAGTGCCAGTACAGAGGCACGGTTTTCACAACCCAAACACCAAGACGGTGGATCGCATTTGTTCGCTCAACTCG